CCATACAGGTGCTTTGGGGGATCAATTTTCCAGTCCGCATGGTTTTCATCTCCAGATGTTGCTCCAGACCTTTGAAAAGATCCTCCTTCAGGTCCCCCATGAGTCCGAAAAAAAGGTCCGAGATGGAAGACCCTTCGTCACATATATCGCCTTGGCACCGGGGTGCCAGTGCAGAGGCCACCTGACCGATCTCTATGGTCCGATGAATCTCGCTCGGAACAAGGAGGAAGCTACGACATGCCCCACGATATAGGGGCTCCTGGCCGTACTACTGGTAGCTTAAGATATTAGAAACACGAAATCAATATAGAATTATATTCGAATGAATTCACATTGAAACTACATTGAATTCGATCAGAAATGAAACCAAGCCCACCGATCTCATGGGTCCCTCTGTCCGTCTCCTTTCCGTTCCCTTACGGGCCGCACCGATGGAAACGGCACCGAGGCGCCAGGGGACGTTGCGCCAGCTGAATGCGCGGGGCAATCTCCTGCACCGGGTGCTCCAACGGGCCGAGGCGGTGAATCAAAACATCCACAGTACCCAGGAGGAGCACTGGAACTGCGCATGCACCTTAAGAAGCTACTAAGAAGCTACTATATTTAGTACGTTAGCTTCTGGACGCTGTATGCTGAGGTGGAGGCCATCGCAAGTAGGGAGGCCAAAGCTACGAGTATCACACGAAGCTACATGGCAAGTGTTTGGATCCGGAGCAATCTTCTGAAGGGGCGGTAAGAAGGTGCAGCCATGGGAACGTTGGCTAAAGGAACGGTGGGTTTCGAAGAGGTCTCAACGAAGTGGACAACCATAAGTGGAACTCCGAAGTAACATGCAAGTGGAATTCACCGGCGTGTTTCACAGGCACTTTTCAGAGGCCACATGTGCATCGCGCGTTTCTGGCGATAGAACGGTGGCGTTCAGGTTTCTCAGGCGTTGATACGGCAACATCGAGACTCTTCATTCAAATACCAAGGTGGTGATTGATGGCCTCCCAGGGTGTTGGTCTTTGATCACGGGGCAATTATTGTTCTCAACCCATGGCCAATGTGTGTTTTTGTTTTTAGCAAAAGCAGCAAAGTAGCAAACAAAATCCGGTAAAAAACATTGAGAACTGTTGTATATTCAACCTGTACTTGGGATAATTGAACCCACATTTCTCGTTGAGTTGAAACCACCAACCAGACCATCATCATCCACTCACGCGGCCTGTCTTCGCGAGCGTTCCAGAGGAGAAGATGAAGGCCAATCTGCGCGTGGCCTTGGTTTGTGGCAGCAGTGGGCGTCTGGTGGAGGCTCAAAAACGCCTGCAGGAGGTGGTGGAATTCAGGAGCGAGGTCGGGGGAACATGGGGGAACTGGTGATCTGTGAAGCACATCCGATGGGATGGTTGAGACATCTTGACTCCGCTTGGTGAAGATTGGACTTGTTCAGTATAGTTATATCCCTAAGAATCCTTGGGCTCTCCATGGCAGGGGTCGGACCCGACACCTTCGCAGGGGTCCGGGCCCGAACCAAACCCTATGCGTTGGTTCGGGCCCGGATTCTTAGGGATAGTTGAAACATGTTGAAACCAAGGGCTTGGTGGCCATCCTGACCGTTCGCCTCAAGTACAGGTTCGCCCCGAAGTGAGGAACTCTTGGACTTGACCGTGAAGATGGTGGAGACGCTCCGTGAAGATGGAGGGTTCATTGGAATTCATGGGACCCGAACGCTCCGTTCACAGCACACTAAGTGATAGTGCACCACACCATATAGTGCTGGTGTTTGCTTGAGTTTGGGTGTTTGTACCGTGCAAAAGAACAGGACAACAACACAACCTTCCAAGTGCCGTCCTCCTTGACTTTGGATGCGTTTCTCGATACGGCCGCCGACTTCCTCGACTGAGTCAAACCGCGTCTTCGTCCAAACCCTCGCGCGCGTGGCAGGAGCCAAGAGCGTGGGAACCACGATCTAGACACCCTTCGGGCTGCCTCCCATTTGTCGCACATCCTCACCCAGCTCGGGCGCTTTAAACATGCCTATGTGCCTTGGCGCAACCGATACGGCTTGGACGAAAGCCTTCCATTCGTGACCGGTCACGAAAGCCTTCGGCGGGTTGGTCACGGTTCTACCTCTTCAGAGGTCACGAGTGGAAGGTCCTGGTTCTTATTGATCAATGATAGCTTGACGGTTCCAAAGATCCACGTTGAAAGGCCTCCTTGATATTGGCCGTAATCGTGTTTGCGAGATGTCCCCCAAGCAAACCATATAGGGATCTCTCCAGGCTATAGGTGCATCCATCAATATGCACATCAATATTTGGGTTCCATTTGGAAAAGGGCCGATCAAACACTTTCAAGTGTATGGAATGTATGCCTTGATCCCCCAAACCAACCCAATGTAGGCAAATATGCCATACATGGATGGTCTAGGTAACAAGTTTAAATAATGGTTCAATTCTTCCGATGAATGTGCTCACTGCCGGCAGCATTCAGCTGTTGCAAACGCTTCGAAAGGCAGATTGTCCGAGAGTCCAACAAGGTATTGTAGTATTGTACATCACGTGGGCCTAGCCCAAGGCCCATATGCCTTAAGGCTCCAACTACCTCCATTTTGAAGGTGGTTGGGGGTGGGCTTTGGGATCTAACCACCTTCTGAGGACATGCATGGGATGACGTCCACGGAAGGGTCTCCATGGCAGCCTCCGACTCCTCTCCTGTCTTGGAGGTTTCGTCTCACCTTGCAACTGAGGCGTTGCAATTGCACGTGATGAGGAATCTTCCGGAGGGACAAGAAAGAGAACGCCTGCGATCCTTGAGTCAACTAGGCGGGACCCCTCTTGATGGCCTGAGGAGTAGCTGGAGGGTTTGTGCTTGGACTATCCAGGAAAGAGGCCTTCACCCAAGGAAGTGCATCACTGGTGGAGGGCACCTCTCTGGAGGGTCCAGGTCAGCTTCCAAACGGTTTCAACATGTTTGACTCGTATATAACTGTCATCGGAACAGGTCATCCTCTCTTGAAAGTGCCATCGGATGTCGCCGACCTGCCACTCTGCTCAGACTCCCCCCATCGCCCGACGGGGCCGCGAAGTGTTCAGAGCAGATGTGTGAAGCTCCAAGTGAAACACTGCAGGACCTGAACAACGAGCGGAATGTTTACTTAAAACTCCCATCCAGTCATCCAGTGAGAAGTGGATCAGGGGCACCACATCCTCCATCCTTCGCCCATTCACGCGGCACCAACCTCAGTGTGGAGCGGCATCAGGATTGGTCGATTGGACGAGGTCAATCCTGTACCCAGACGCTCCGGTCACAGCCCGACTAGTCCCTCAAAACCTAGTAGATTGGTGAGTAACCCCGGACCCCTCCATAGGATTCGGGTCCGACCCCTCCAGAGGATTCGGGTCCAGGGTCTGGTGCTATCAGGCCATATCCTGACGCGCCAGCACAAGATGCGGGAAGCGGAACCGCTGCTGAGCTGTAGCGGGTTTGGGCGAACATAATTTACGACTCCTTCCAGTTCACAGAATCCTGATGTTTGAACCACAGATTGTGTGTGATGTGCGAACGTGTTGGAACAAAACACACATGCAGATTCAGATTAGAGTTTTCTGGATGTATTTGTTCGTTTGTCCACCACTTCTTTGGGCCTTTGGGCCCTTCCATGCTTTTCTTGTTTTCCGTGTTCGTTTGTCATGTATGATGATTTCAGGAATGTGCGTACATCTTTAGCTTCTTAAACACGTTTCCAAGCTTGCGTCACTATGACACACATTACACTGCTGCAGGCTTGAAAAATGCGCTATTGTATGCTAGAATGGGTAGCAAAGTAACCTTATACTTGAATACGTTCTCCAATCAATCCGCAATAACGGTCTTTAGTTTCACTGCAGCTCGTGAAACGGGAGAGGCCCTCGCCAAACAGGGTCGAAAACATCCACACGCCCCCCAGAGCCACCCACCTGAGGCTTCTGATGGAAGCTCATCGAGGTCGAAGACTCCTACTGGGCGAGACTCATTTCGACACCTTACAGTCCCAACAGGACTGGTTGTCCGAGCGCGAGACATCGAGTGACGGTTTCTGTGATTGGTCAAGAAGCAGGTACTGTAGGCATGAGGCATACTCCAGGTGACTGCAGGTTTGTAGCGCAACTCTCAGCAAAGTCTGATAGAAAACTGATGAAAAGCGACTCCTCTCTCGATCAAATATAGTCAGTCTTGAACAGTTTCTACCGTTGTCACGAGTCAAACAACATGAACTTCACCCAACCCTCTTTCGGCGACGGAAAACACGGATCTCTTTGTCTCTCCATCATCCTCTCAGCCCTGGCCCTCAGCTGCCCCGTGACCACTGTTCTCCAAACCCACTGACTTCACCCCGAAGCACCATCACGCTCCACCCCGAAACCGCCCCTGGAGAAAACCGCCCGAAGCCATCCGCCCCAAAATCGCCGAAGAGGCACCGCCGGCGCCAGGACCTGGCTTTGGTGTGCGCCTCGTTGCAGAAGCCACGCCAGGCCGTGGAGCACTACCGGGAGGTTCTCAAGCACCTGAGGACGGACGGTGACGGAGACGACATGGGACGTGACGCGTGAGGGAGGCATAGGGAGCGCGGAATGGAGGTGTTGACTCGAAAAAATTGTAAAAAAGAAAAGATAAAAATCGGGGGGACGATGGGGAAGGGGTGAAAAAGGTGAGTTATAGGGAATTCAGTGGAGCAGATTGCAAGGGTGAGATGGACAGTGACATGTCTATGAAAAAATTGGAGCGGTGGGATCCAGATGCGAAGCAGTGGGCGTTGGAAGTAGCAATGGCTTAGCTGCAAAGAGCTATGCCTTTTTGAATCGTATGATGGTACAGTAGAGAACATGAATGAATCTCACCAACTGTACCAAAGGCATCAAAAGGCCATGGATTTCCCTCGCTCCAGACACCTTTTCTGCGTTTCCTGATGGCAGGCACCAGCTGGAAAAGACGCATCCAGCGAGCTTGCAATGTCAGCTCTTGTTGGCACAGACCTTGGCGTCACAGGGGAATTATGGTGCCTGGGACTTGAAAAAAGAACGCCGATCCCTGGCCCCAGACCAGGACCATCCATGGGACTGGAATAGATGCCGCATCAATATGAATTGACCCCCCAACCCAACCCAACTGATTGGGATATATGCCAGTCTCATGGATGGTTTGGGTATGGAAGTCCATGTTTCGTGTCTGAGTTCATGAGATCCTTTAACGCGAGGAGTATGTCAAGAAGCCTGGTCCCTGGGTGCTCAGAAACAGCGGCGGTTGCAAAAGCAAGCGGTTGTGTTTCCCATGTGTTTTTTTTGCAGGGTGAAAGTAGAAAGTCTTCGACCATCTTCCACCCATGGACCCATGAGACAGGTGCAGCGACGGACAGGTCGCAGCAGCAACATCGTCAAGTGATTCCAAGTGGCTGATGAACCAGACAGGTCCTGTGAGAGTTTCGGCCAATAGAGCCTTTGCCAAAAGGAAGTTTGCTTGCACGGAAACATCAAGAAATCCTGTTTGGCATACTCTCCCTGGAATTAATAGAAGTGGATGGCACCCCCTGTTTGTACAAAATGGTCTTCCAAGATGCCATGGTTCCATCGTTTTCCACATTTTTCCATGTGGGTTCCACGGAGTGTCGTCTTCCCCGGGAGGCCAAAGGTCAAAACAAGTTGCCAACCCTTCCCACGTCAGACCTCGCGGAGAAGGAGTACGATCACGTGAGCTTCTTAATGAGCAGTCAGCTAGGCGCCTCCGTTTTGTTTGGAATGCCTAGGGCTCCTGGCTCATCTCCGGTTCGGAGCTTAGACCCCCCAGTCGCGCACCCACCTCCACCGAAGCCCGCTCCAGAGATGGGACAGGAGCCCCCACTCGCTCGGTGATGCTTCGGCCTCCGCTGCGCCGTCGCCGTGGAGCGTGCGTCCTCGGCCGAGCCGTGTTTTCGTCGCCGTCGCCGTCGCCGACGGGTTCGGTGCGGTGGAGGAAGGGGGCTGAGGAAGGGGGCAGTGTGAAGATGTGATTGAAGCGATGGACTTAAGTAGGCAACAAAACAGCCGTGGTTCTTAGGGCCTGGCCGGGCCCAACATGCACAGATTTGTAGACTAATTATGACAGACTTAGTTGTTTTTTCTATTGGGGGGGAGAGGAACAGCGTGGCGTTGTGGTCGAAGAGCTTATTTGGAGATGTTTCTGGGGTTGGTATCCGCCAAATTCGAAGACGCTTGCCCCCGCACTACGGAGTTTCGGGTGGTCTATACACCCCTGGGGCTCCTGACGATGTGGCCGCAACTCAAAACTAGGGGACCCGGGTTGACCAGGGAAAATGAAGAGAACAGACTAGTAATTGAGGTGAACAACTCAGCGTTTCGGGTTTCTTCGTCCACAGCCGGTCTTTTCCCCCTCCATTCACCCGGCACCACGGACCGAAGCAGGCGCGGCCCATCCGAAGACCTTGGCCGCTCGTGTGTCGGTGCCTTGGGCGTCAGGAGAGCAGGAGAGCGGGACGGTGGGAGGGAGAGAACACGGCCGATGCGGCCGATGCTGTATTGGAAAGGAAGCGTGCGGTAAGAGAACAATGAGTGGTAAGATGTGGTATACGGATACGTGACTTTGTTCCTTGACAAAAAACAGTTACCAGGACCTTCCCAATGACCTTTTGAGATCCCAGAATGCGGTTAATGAAGTATGTCGTCTTCAAACTCATGTTTGGCTCCTTGGAATCCAAAATGCAATTTGGCCATCCTCCAGGGGGCCTTCAAGCTATATGGTTCTTCATTATATTCGTGAGAAACTCTGCTCGTGTTTGCTGTTAACTCCCCACACAATGTGCACAATCAAGGGAATCCTGCAGAATCCTCCATGCTTATCGACCAGGAAACCACTGTGAGACTTCAAGTGTTCAAAGGATGTATATATAGGATTATATAGGTGTTTCACCAGGCTTCTTAAGCGCGAACAAAAACATGGCGTCCTTTTTTTGCTCTCAGTCTCCCCCACTCTGTTCACTCACCCGAACACTCACCCGATCGGCTGTTCGCTCGACTCAGACCCTTCCCTCGTCAGCCGCTCGTCCGGCGAGTCTCGCTCGGTGTCCCAGCGTCCATCCGTCACCCGCGTTCCGCGTGAGCGTCCATCCCTGAGGAAACGTTGACCTTCTGTGACCAAGGGAAGCTCCCAAAGGCCATGAAGCTTTGGCGACAGCGGGTGGAAACCACTGGACCCTTGGGCGAAGAAAGACCAAGAAAGAGAAAGACCAAGAAGACTTCAAACACAGCGAAGAAGAACATGTGTTTGTTTGCGTTTGTGTCTGTTTGTTGTTTGCCTTCTGTGATTGCTTTTGTGACTGTGTTTTGGGTTTGTGATTGTGCGTCTGTTGGTGTGTATGATTGTTCCTTGTCAGTGTGTTTGCGAGTGTGTGTGGGCACGGGCAGGGGGGGTGAAGGCTTGAAGAGGCTGATGTTGGGACGGATCTGATTAGCTATATAATGCTATATATATACAGGGTGTCTCAAGTCTTGAGTCTTTCGGAAGACTATAGTCGTTGAGGGAGATCCACCCTTAGACTAACTTAGTCCTGGCTGTTTCTCCTTACGGGCAGGTGGAGGATTAGGTGTTGCAGGTGTGGTCCAAGAATTCGAACGTTCCAGTGGGTGGACTGCAGTGGAATTCCACTTCCGTGACGTGACTGGCCTCACGCCTGGGCAGGACGACTCATCACCGATAGGCAGTCCAGGGTCAAATGAGTCAGTTGGACTCTTAGGGCTTCTGTAATTACCAATTACCTGCCAGCACCTTCATTACGGGGTCACCTGGCTGGATGCCCCTACACCACTAGGGGTCCAGGTTGTGTTAAGTACTACTTGACATGTCCTAACAAACCAAGTCTGAAGGTGAACAGATTCATGCATCTAACATTGAATGTAACATCGGTCCCATTCATCTAATATTCGTGAAAGGTCTCTGACATTGGATGAACCGCAAACAATTGAACGTTTGCAGATCTTCATCCTGCTGAGGATATGTCTACAGTGTTCCTTTGCTCTTAGACATGGGCTTTCACTTAGCGCACTACTCTGGCTTTGCTGGAATATTCTTGGTGGCTTTGATCACTTTGCTGCTCTACGGCTTCGTCGCAGCACCCTTTTGCAAACTTGGCAGTGGATGCTGGGACACGCTGGATCACAGTCCATGGACTGTGATCTTCATCCCTCTATGGGTCCTACAAGGGCCCCTCGAAAGAAACGCCAAGCGGTGACCGCAGCGGGGAAGAAAGGGGACACCAAAAGGGCAGGTCACCCAGCCCGGAGCGCGACGTGACGTCGCGTCCCAGCTGGAGTTTCCGCTGTTGGAGCGGTAGGTAGCTGTCTGCTGAGCCTGACTAGTCGGGTGCTCCACTGACATCCCAGGGTGCACCGTTGGGATGTTGAGTCGGGAGCATCTGGGACGGACTGATCTACTGCTTCATCACCTCACCTCATTCTCGCTCCGTGTCGGTTAGGACCGCTTCGGTCGAGCTCCGTGTCGGTGACGGTCGCGTTCTCACCAGGTCGGTTGGGCGCTGCAGGTCGAGCGAGAACACCAGGGCCTTCAAAGGGGTGGTGTCCATGAACCACCCCGAATCACGGCTGTTTGGGGCTATGAATAGACTCCCCGACAGACAGTCGGGTCCTGGTATATATAAGCGCTAATATGTGGTTTTTAGTTTAGTGGGAATTACAAGCATCCAACGTAATTACTGTATATAGATGTTCTTATCAGGTTAGGCCATAGATCCTTTGGTCCGCAGAAGTGCCAATCAAAAGCAGTGCGTACGATGGTGCTTATGCGGCGTGCCCATGTGGGAGTCTGGATGAAGTCATGCGACTAATTTGGCCAAATCTGAGTAGCACACAAGGGCGCCTGTTGTTCTGTTGTTCCCTTATGATCCTTTTGGGCATCTAAGACTGAAGAACCTTTGGCCAAGAACGACGTACGACCGGAACATCGATCAACATGGGCCTAACATGGACCTAACATGTCCTACTTTTGGCCAAGTTTTGACCTGATCAACCAGACCCAGGTTGCATTTGCTCTTTTGGACCTGGGCCGTGGGTGGCTTTCGCCAACTGCGGCACTGGCGGCGGCATGTCATGCGTGGGATGCGTGGGATACGAAATAGATCCAAGTCAGGCCGGCTTGGATGGGGAATCGAGTCATACTCAAGACGTCCCAGTGGGTTAATGGGAAGTCTTTGGTACAGCCAAGAGCTTTAGTCTATCTACCATTGTTTGAGGAAGCCATATTTCTGGGGCATTTCCACCCGGATTCAATCCTGAAACAAGCGGTCCCCCGAAAAGCGCCCAAACCCAGCGACTGACTGTAGATAATCCTGGACATGGGTGATGTATCAAGTCAGCTTCCTGGAGCCTCCAAAGTAACCTAGACGATTGCTACATGATTGTAGAAACAGGCACAACTGTATACCATCATTTGTCGAGGTACGCATGGGTCGACTCCAGCTATGAGTGTCCAGTGTCCTACTGTAAAGAACTCGACTCTATGATATATGTGTATATTGCAGTGTCTGTATGGCCCTTTTCATTCTGCCGGTGGGGGGTGAAAACTCAGTGTCTTCAGACTGAGGTGATTCAGATCACATCTGAGCTTTTGACCCACCTACAGAGCTTGAACAGCGTAGGCAGGCCATGACCATGCCTATGCCATATATGGTCCGGTCCCAGTGGTAGTATATAGGTCTCTCAACCTCTCCCACCTTCTGTTCGAGGTGTCTATCCATCGCCTCTTCCTTTTCAGCGCTCGCGCGGTGAGGGTCCGGGGGTGTCCCAAAACCAGACGTGTCGAGCTGAAGCTGAGAGCTCCGCTCCCCGCGGTGTCACCCAACCCGGAGCTGTCGCCCGTGAGGCCTCGAAAGCGTGGTCAAGACCTTGAGCCGCAGGGACGAAACCGAAGACTTGGCCTCTCTCCAGGACGACCGGACGAACCCGCGCCGGGGATACGGACCACGGACCGGACCGTGGGGATGGACCCGAAGGTCGGGGCGGAGCGGACCGGACTGCTGGGCAGTGGCGGTAGGAAGTGAAGTGAAGCAGTGCGGATGTGGCAACCAACAGAAGCAGATGAATATCGAAGATAGACATGGAAGAAATGAGTTTGGACCTAGAGGATGCCACTTACTTTGACCATTTGTGCCAACACCCTTCCTTTCGCCCATTTGAGATGGTTTGGGGGGTCAAGGTTGGAATTAGCTGGTTTGGTGGACGGGCATTCTCCCATGAATTGTTTGGGATACCCACCTTCTGAGGTGGTTGGAGCCCTAGGTATACCCTAGGGATCCAAGTACCTTCTCAGAAGGTGATTGGAGACACTGTTCCCTAGGGATCCAGTCGTACCTTCTCAGAGGGTACTTGGACCCTCCAAACCTACATAACAGTGTCTCCAATCACCATCTGAGAAGGTACTTGGATCCCTAGGGATACTGAATGATCCAAAAGGGTGGTTGATAGAACCCCCCCTGAAGAGGTATGTTCCATCCAATCACCACCCGGTGCGGATGCTGTATGTGACTAGGCAAAATACCAAGGGTTTTGAGTGGTTTGGGGGGTTATGCAACAAGCACATCGTGGTTCACGAGCTGTTCCATTTGCCAAAAGCTTCTTCTATTTTCCAGTGGTTTCAGACGGCACTGGCACCTCAAGATGACTTGATAAGATGGGGGTCTATATCTAAAGCACCGACATTGGACATTTGTGCCATCGAAACTCTCAATCCACTAGAACGAGCCCCTTCTGGACATCTCGTAGTGGTGCCTACGCCCGCGCAGGAACATGCTCAAGTCCTCGATCGGGTCGGGCTGAAGACCATTGCGAGCATGCTGGTCATCAGCGTTTTGCTGGCTTTGAGACTGGATGTCGCTGAGGCCTTTCCATGGCCACCGCCACTTGGGAGGTCGAAGATTGACGACTCACTCTTTCCAAGATGCTGCTTAAACAGCTATTGGCCAACTAGAGCAGGTAAAAAAAGGTGTATGAATGTGTATGATGCTGTGCTGATTCACGCGTTCGACTCTCCCCAAAAATCTTAGCAGGCCCAGGTTGGTGGTGTGCTCTTATTTGTGCGCTAAGACTTAGAGCTACTCTCGACCGGACGGTCGCCTCATCACAGAGTCGGACATGTCCCGTGGTGAGCCCAGGCTTTTCAGCTGTTTGATCATGAGCTGCTGGTTTCTCCTGGAGCTCAACTGGCTCTTCTCCTCCAGCATTTTCGAGTACCATTCCGCTTGTGGCTACGCGCTGCTGCTGGCACTGCTGCGTTGGCTGTCGCTACTACTGCCCTTGTTGCGGATAGAAGGGATTCGCCCCACAGGATTCGACATCACCTTTACGGTCCTACCGGCCTTTGGTCACTTGGCTTAACGGTTAAACGGCGGTCCGGGCTCGTGTTGGGCTCGTCCCTTGCGGCGTGCGGCTGGGTGGTGAAGGGCAAAGGGAACCTTGGTTCATCGAGCCGATGGTGCCGCTGGTTTTTCCCCCTCCACCTGCATGCGCCTGGAGGATGAGTTCTGTTTGACTGTTTGACATAAGACTGTGTGAGTCGACTGGAAGTCGGGAGCCGCTTGGCGCGCGCCTTACCGGTTGGTCATTTCATTCGCCTTTCAACGTCCGGATCGACGAGACTGGGGCGCTCATGCTCAAGACTTTTTCGTCCAGGGCGGTGGAGTCGGTCCTTTGGAACAGGATGGACTCCAAGACCTGGGGATGGACTCAAAGACCTGGGGATGGACTCCAAGACCTGGGGATGGACTCCAAGACCT